TAAATCAAAAACCGCCTAAATCATTTTTAAAGCTCATAATCACCAATGCATCTTTTTTCAAGTGAGAATCAAGGCAAATTCTAATAACTCGGACATTCAATTTGACACACACAACAAGGAATAAAGGCTCAAGTCTCACTAGGCTCAATATATCGCTAATTAACGGGGCACAAGCATTTTCATCTAGGCATGACATATCACAACCACATCACAATCTCTCGATCACATCAAATTACCATCCACCATTCAAGTTATACATCCCATCAAATCAAAAGCACAAAATACACGAGAGATAGACTCCAAATAAAACCTACTCCTAGAAAGCAAATAAACGTGCAAATAAATACATAAAAAGTAAAATAAACTAATGCAACCTATATGCAATGCAAGATACTGGGATAAGAACCTAAGATATGCCGCACCCCTCCCCCAAACTTATTCTTTCGAGAAAGAACAAATATGAAAGAGAAAGTGGTATATCTTAGGGGACTAACTTCCTGAAATCACGGCTGAGGAAGGGGAAAATGTCCATCGGGTCGCTGCATCCAGTCAAATATCTGCTGGAAGCCGCTCGTCATCCGCTCCTCAATCTGCTGGTAGCCGCTATCCATCCTCTGCTCCAGCCGAGCCGTAGACGCACGGTTCTCATCCCTCCAACCCCGTACGTCTGTCATCAGCGTGCGCATATCCTGCTCGAGCATCTCCATCCTCTGATCCATGTCCGGCTCTCGACGACGACGCCTCTGCCTCTGCTGCTGCTGTCGCTGCTCAACTGCTCTGGAGGACTCCGGTATGTCCTCGTGTGGTCCCTGCTGCTCAGGTCTCGACCCATCTCCCACATACTGCACAAGGGCACCTACATCCTCGCCCTCGAAGGCTGCTATCTCATCCTCCTCCTCATCCTCGGCTGCTCGGTCAGCCGGATTCAGCCTCGGGGCGAGTTTCCGAAGACCCCCCACTACCGGTCTCTCCGCTATGGCTCGTGTGTGCTCGGGGGTATCCATCTTTAAATTTCCCTCACTGTGGATCCCCGTCAGCTGTAGGTAGGGGAGAGGAAAATAGTCTGTCAGAAGCTTCTGTACGAAGAACATCTGACCTCTCAGATCAGTCCTCAGATAGTTCATGTAAACCAGGGCCGCCAAATCTAGCGAATCATTCCCCCGGACTCGCTCCCATCCGGCGTAGTCAATCTTCAGATGGTCGGCGATCATCGTCACGGCCCCACCACACCGAAGTATGTCTGACTCTCCTCGACTCATACGGCACAAATGCTCGCCGACGAACAGTCCTAACCCGGGCTTCCTCTGCTCCATCAAACTCCAAAGAATGAAGGCTTCGGTCTTCGTGACCGTCCCACTCTCTTTCCTAGCGAACAACGTACTCGCAATCACCCGGTGCACATAACGGAGCACCGGGTTACGGATGTCCGCTGCCTTCACTGACCCTCGGGCAAACTGGAACGATCCTCCTCCTCCAGAACTCAGCGTAATGGACCGCCAGAAACCCGACTCGTCATACGTACTCAAGTCGATAAAAACTCCTCGTCCTCCAAAACATGCATTGAGCCTCGCTTCATCGAGACTCCAATCTTGATTGTTCAACCGGAAGGTAATCATCTCCAACT